ATATATATATATATATACAACTGATCGTGTTAGCCCATGGGGGGCCTCAAACAAGCTATATACAAGCAACAGGCCCTAAACAATATACTTCTCTAACAACTGCGAGGCCGTTGATGCATTGGCGCAGGTGTGCGTACACCCGAACCTCAGCTATGCAAGACCCTAGGAACTCCCGTTTGAAGCTGCCACAGTCCTGTTCGTGTGTTTGTGACGACAGCTAAACGGATGCACGCCTATGTGTAGAAAAACTCAGGCGTCCGTACACGTCTGCATGCAGCGTCAGGTCCACGTTCAATAATATAGATGTAATATACTGCCAATTCCTATCGCCGTTATGGCCGGACTGCTACGCTCCCAACGGTTTGCTAGAGTGTATGCTTCTTTTTCTTACTGAGGAGAAACAGACGTGTGCATGCACTGCAGATGAAGCCCCCTATGAACTCCCCCTTCATCTCTACCTAGAAGCAAAGATAAATCTAAGTGTATGCATAAAGGTACAGCTATATATGCAGAAGTGCATGCACTATGTGCATAGAAATATACAGAAGCATTTATGGGTCTGTAGCATCTCTTGCGGGCGCCATTTTCTATATCTCTGCAAGCATTTCACTGCCGGCAGACTCTTGTGAACGGGGTCCTGCTAGGAAGCAGTGCTGCAGTAACTGCTGTTGCTGCAGCAGTAGCGGCTGCTGTTGATGATGAAAACGGTTTAATTTATAAAACCTTGGGGTGAATCAGCTGGGCCTGGAATGCGGGGGTGTATGCATGTTGCATGCATGCCCCTGCCTAACTCATGCCACCCGCAAGATGCCGGCAGTTATCAGTTTATTTATGCCATCACGGATTTTCGGGTCCTGAAGGTACCTGAATGGATACACATGAAATGGAGAAGCAAAAAGGCGGTGCAAAAGGCTGCAGCAGCAGCACCAGGCAGCATCTGACTCGTGCAGCTACAGGATTTAAGGGCTTGATATTTAAAATCTAATGCAGCAGCTGCTGCTGTTGCTGCTGCTGCTGCTCATGGCGACGTACTCTTTCAGCATGGCCGGGTTCTCCTGCGCGTTTTGCAGCACTATGCTCATCTGGGGGTCACGCAAAATCTGTTGGATCTCTGGATCGGCCTGCAAACTCGCAAGACATATGCATAGAAGGGAAGAATAATTAAAAACAAGGCAATAAACCGACATAAAAAGGAATGAGACATAAAAGCCCCAAAGGAAATCGAATTGTATTCGTGGAGTTGTGTCTGTTACGCATGCATAAACCCTCGGATCTCTGTCGTAAACCTTAGACCTTAAACCCTAAGCTCTAAGCTCTAAAGAGGGTAAAAATGCTTGTATGAGAACAGAAAGCAAATGCATGCTGCATGCAGCCCCAATCCGCTCAAGTACAGATTATGTGTCTTTGACGAACCATTGCGTGTCTCATTTGTTCTTCATCAATTTCTCCGGATTGTTGCTGCTGCTGTACTTTGCGAACAACTTGCATTTTGCCATCCATACACTCCTTGCTATTAGGGTCTATAGCCAATCCCTTATCAAAGGCCTCTAATGCCTTCGCATATTCCTTTAATTGAAAGTGCAGATTACCCTTGCGGCTCCATGCCTTAACAAATGTTGGGTCTAGACTAATGGCGGTGTCACAGTCCTGTGGAGGTCATAGACAAACATAACACAGAAAAGAAATAATATGCAGAATACTAACAGTAAGGATACACACAAGACCCACAAACTTGTCTGCCCTATACGCTAAATCCTTATTTTTTATGTATATTATGCATGCACCTTGCAGCTTCGTACAATAGTCATATACGTCAGTCCAGTCAAAAGGGGAAGGAAGTTGAATAAAATGGGCACAGGAGAACAAAATGAGTTAACATTTGCATATATAAACAACTAAACAGGGAGATCGTGCGGGGTGTACAGGTAGGTAAACTACACAGAAAACAGCCACAGCTACTTTCTTTACATCTCAATAATATAGAAATATAGAAATAAGGAAGAAAAAGACATAAATAAAAATGTATTAGAGGAGGATATAAAAGAAAGCCGTAAAAAAGAGTAAGGAAAATAAAAAAGATGAATATAATAATAATAAATATTATTATTATTCATGACAAACCTTCAAAGCTGATGGATATTCAAATAATTTTGTCAATGCAGCAGCTCTGTTGCTGTAAAGTTTTGCATCCTTAGGATTACGCAGAATTGCCTCGTCATACTCTGCACAAACGCAAAAAAAGAAAAAAAAATTTAATTGCCAATTAAATAAACAGATGCACACGGGGTTGATAGTCTTCGTACATAATAATAACGAATTATAATAATTAATTAATTATTCATCAATTAATCAGTAACATATAAACAGAAAGTCCCTAGTTAACTACAATTCATGGTAAATCTCTGGATTTTCTTCAATGTGCAGGTTGTGTATTTTTCTTTTTCCCCGCTCGTAGTATTGTTTGTTTATTTCCTTCCGTGTGTTTCTGGTGGCTAATTCACCTTTCTTTGCGCTTGGGAAGTCGTTATTTTTAAAGAATTCGTTTCCCTTCTGTCTGTGTTCTTCTGCTTTCTGTGGGTCTATATATGCCTCTCTGTCTGCCTTCTCCTTCATACGCTTAACATCTGCCAACGCTGCGCGGGTCTGTCTTGTGTTAGATTCGCACAAGGACTTCTCGTACATCTCAATAGCCTTCGCGTAGTCCTTCTGCCGGGTGTAGCAAGCCGCCATGCGGTTGTATACCTGAGGCGTACGTACACCCCACCACAAGCAGACCCACGCTTTCGCTTTCCGCAAAACAAACAGCAGATAAGGGAGATAAAGCAATTATGCTTTTTGTTTTTTTATTATGCTACTTGAACACAATTTATCTCTCTTACCTTAGCCACCACATCATAGTCTGCCTTCACTTCATAGCGCTTCTCTAGCGCCTTGTTGCATTCGGCAAAACACTTGTCGTACTCCCCCATCTCCATGTACACCGCTGCAGCGAACACATCCAAAATGCTCTTTATATTCAAAGATCTGTGCACTAAGTATCTTCCCCACTAAATATTTTTCCTTCCTCTTTGTCGAGGCAGCCTGTTGCCTCTTGGCCTGATTGGTGTGTACGACAGAGTGTTGGTCTATGTGCCTCTGTCGTGCATATTTCTGGGGTATATCTATTAAAAGATCATCGCTGTGAGTAGCTGCTGCAGCTGTACCTGCTTTATTGTTGAGGTAGAGAAGCTCGTTGGGGTCGAGCTTGATTGCTTCATCATATGCCTGTAGGGCTTCCTCGAACTTGCGCTGTTTGTACAGCGCATTTCCCTGCTGCTTGAACTCCTCTGCCTTCTTCTGTTCCTCCGTCAATTCTTTCTTTGGCGCTGCTGGCTCCTTTGCAGCTTCAGGCGCCTTTGCAGGCTTAGGGGGGGCCTCCTCCTCCTCCTCTAGGGTACCACCTAAGGCTACCGTTATACCTTCACGAATCCTTACGTCCTGATACGCAAGCATCCATTGACATAAGCACATAGACAGAATTAAAAAGCAAGAAGAAACGCACGCATATAATAGATGCATATAATATATAATATATATATATATATATATAA